CAATTTTTTCATCAAACGTTTTTTTTTTTTAAGGGTCATGTTTTTTTTTTTTTTTTTTTTTTTTTTAAGAGGAGAAAGGTTTTCAGCTGACCTTATTACTAAAAAGCTGGAGTAATAATAATAATAATTTGCTGAAGGAAAATAAGAATAATAATGTCACAATCTTAAATAAGCTAAAATACCCAACTCTATCTTTAAGACTCTTTTTACTATTTCACATTGTTCTCTCAGGACTGAAAATAAACAAACTGAAAAGAGCATGCAAATGTAAACTAACATGTAGGGATTCTTGAAAGATAAACATGCTAAATGTAACAAAAAGTAAAATATATAATTATATTTTAAAACACTATGCAATACATCCAACATAGTTCAGCTCTCAAAAGAATATGCAATTCTTATTGCAAATACAGTAGTTTCCCTTTATCCTGAGTTCCAGTCACATGCAGTCTACCATGGTCTGCAAATATATGAGATATTCGAGTAAGACCACATTTACAGTAATTTCATTAGAGTGTATACTGTAATAGGATTGCATTAGAGTACATACTATTAGAATTGTTCTCTTGCATTATTGGTTATTGTTATTCTATCTCATTAATTTATTAGTTAAATTTTATCCCATGTATGTGTACCTAGGAAAAATGTAGTATGCTTAGGGATTAATACTCTCTGTGGTTTCAGTCACCCGGGAGTCTGGGCACTACCCCCATGGACTAGGGGGGCTGCTATATGCACAGTTTCTGGCAGGAGAAACTGAGGGAGGTAATAGAAAGCATGTGTCCACTCTCACTCCTATGAAGTGTAAGCAAAAATAACCTGTTGCCCCAGTGTTCTTATGAAGCTATAAACAGCAATTACTGTGCCCACACAAGGAAAACGTCTGATTAAAGTAATCATTTGACTAATATGAGAAAGAAAAATATTTGATCACCTGATGATTTCAGGTTGGTGTTTCAGCATTCTCGTATCTGGGCACTTAGGTCAAGTTTTTTATAGCGAAGTAGAAACAAAACTTAAATTGCCAACTTATTAATACAAAAACACATTTGTTTGGAATACTGACAATAGCTTGAAGCATGGTTCATGTCTTATTTCACTTAAATCTCTCAACAACAATAAACACTTGTTATAACCATTTAAAGAGGAAGAAAACCGAAGCTTAGAAAAATTGCTTAACTTTCTCCAACTCACACAGGCTTTTAAGTAGCGGGTTGGTACTGAAATTAGATTTGCTTAAAACTTGGACCTTCATTCTCATACTATGTGGCCTCATACAAATTTCTAAAAAAAGGTTCACAGACATATTCCAAAGAGTACATTGCAGTTTTAAAGAAAACAAAGTACGAAAAAGAAATTGTGAGCCAGCTGAATAAAACCATTTCCATTTTCCAAACAGGATGACCAAGGTACAAATGAATCCATAGAAAATATGTCTTTTGAAATAAATGGCAGTCTTAATCTTTAAGAGAGATGATTATTTTACATAAGAGTATCGCTACTTAGAAAGTCGATTTGCATATTTGGCCATGATTTTGCATTTCACAGTTCGAGAGAGAGTCTGTGTCCCCGTAAGAGACGACTGGCTTGCACTTCTACGTGAGATGCAACGGCTGCCACCCCTCTTGTATTTAAAGGGCATAAACATTAAATAAAGCACCACTTATAGAGGAAGTTAACAATGATGGTCACTGGATTTCATCTAATTGCATTCGATGATTTCTTTATCTTTGATTTTTTTATTATGCAGAAAAAGAAAATCTACCAGCGGGTATCACTTGACTGGGTCCAGAGCTCCTTGCAAAAAGCCAAATTCCATTAGCCAGCAAAAGTGATCAAACTTTCTCGTCCTAGCTGTAATATAAGCCATATAAAGCCTTCCCTATATTATGACTTAAATGACTATCTTGTCAGCTTAAAGCTTTTGCCTAAATAATGCCAAGGGGAAAAA